GCTGCCAGCCCCACGGCTATTAGTCATGCTACACTGTCTACCGCCAAAAGGCAGTTAGCAGCTGCTGCTGTGTAGCAATGCAGTCCCACGTCTGCCGGCACCCAGAGGACATATGGTGACGGTGAGCTCAGCTGAGCTGAGCGGGCTCCATGCTTGCCGTGGTATGTTGTCTGCACAGGTAACCCAGGTAAAAAGGCACGAATCTATTGTCTGCCGTTGCTGTGACGGAGGGGGAGGGGCCTGACGACATGTACCCAGAACCTCCTGTGACACTGTTTTGCATCATCCGGGCATTGGGATCTCAACCCAGAATTCCAATGGGTGGCGGAGACTGCGGGAACTGTGGGATAGCTGTGGGATAGCTACCCATAGTGCAATGCTCTGGAAGTCGACGCTAGCCTCGGTACTGTGGACACGGTCCGCCGACTAGAGCACTTAGACCATTTTATGTGGGGACACACACAATCGGCTGTATACAACCGATTTCTATAAAACCGGCTTCTATAAATTCGAACTAATTTCGTAGTGTAGACATACCCTTTGAAAACCAGTTTCTCCTTGATTTAAACCCGCCCCCTTTGTTGATTTTAATTCCCTGTAAGCCAACCACCCTCCCCCCTTCGAAATAAAGCAACTATTGTTTTGAAACCATGCATTCTTTCTTCATTAATTAAAAATAAATGAGATAATGGAAAAGGTAGTCGCGGGTAGTTTGGGGTACATGTCATCAGTCGCCCCCCTTTTCCCCCCCTCCCACCATGAAAGCAATGGCAGACAATCCTTTCGCGCCCTTTTTCCTGGATTGCCCATGCATACGCCATAGTTCTGCAAGCGGGAGTCCGCTCAGATCAACACTGCAGTTGTGAGCATTGTAAATAAACACCTCACATTTGCCCTTGGAGATTTTAGCATATATATTGGCATTGCGTCTTTTGGAACAGAGTTCTGATAGCAATGATTCATCTCCCCATACAGCGATCAGATGAGCTCACCACACTGGTCAAACAGGAAATGAAATTAAAAAGTTCCCGGGGCTTTTCCTGTGTACCTGATTAGTGCATCTGAGTTGAAAGTGCTGTCTTGAGCGGTCACAATGGTGCACTCTGGGATAGCTCCTGGAGGCCAATACTGTCAAATTGCATCCACACTACCCTGAATTCGACACGGTGATGTCGATTTCAGCACTAATCCCCTCGTCGGGGAGGAGTACAGAAATTGATTTTAAGAGCCCTTTAAGTCGAAAAAAAGGGCTTAATCGTATGGACGAGTGCAGGGTTAAATCGATCTAATGCTGCTAAATTCGACCTAAATTCATAGTGTAGACCAGGGCTTAGTGTTTAGCGGCTAAAGTCTCCAAAGATACTGTCATCACTGGACATACACCAGCACCACTCAGCTCCTAGTGCTGGTCCACAAATAAAGATGACAACCTACTACTGTTAATGGTTACTCCATTAGCTCAAGTGGCAGAGCTAAAGTTTCCAGCGGCATCAGCGTAACATATTATAAAAGTGGCATCCCAGCCTAGAGGCAGTAGGAGAGACAGATGTAGCCCTTGGGAGGTGCCAGAATGATGGTCACTGGTGATGATGAGGGAGGTGATGGTGATGAGAAAGATGATGGCTAGCATTTCAGGTTATTCTGCAAGGGATGGTGTGAGTATATGGATGTGCAGGTGTACATTCCGTAGTATCTCTATCTACTTTACTGAGTTGGGATGTTTGTGACAGGACTAAATGTATTAATAAACAATATTTGTAAATATAAAAGAGTTTCTATAGTGTGAGTGTTGCAACTGTGCACATCAGGGTTCCCAACTGTATAATAATTTTTATAATTCTGGGCCTGATCTTGGGGGCAAGAACCTGGCAACCCTCAAAGTGATAACTGGGAATTCTTAAGTAATCTATATAATGAATACATAATCTAAAGCTCAGGCAACAAAGTGAAACAATAATAAAAATAATCCTCCACCCCTCCTGGGACATACCTAGTCTAGTGAGGACAGGCAGTGGCATGGCTACAATGGCACAAGTGGTGCAGTTGCCAATGCCCAGAAGTTTATGGGGGTTCAACCAGATGGAGCAGTGCTCCAGCACGTCACCTGGAGCATGGCGTCGGACAGAGGAGCAGCCGGGCCAGCTCTGTGTGGCATTGCGACTGGGTATTCAGGTTTGGACTGGTTGCCCTTTGTCATGACAGAAGAGTAGTCAGCCGAAACCTGAGTGGTGATGCAACCCTGTGCGCCAAGTCACAACCCCACTCATCACTCCAGTTGGACTCAGGCCATGTGAGTGTGGGGTGGGAGATGGGCACCACTGGGCAGCCAGGATTGGGAGTAGCAGCCCTAACCTGGGATGGCAGTGGAGCGCTGAACTGCTGGGTCACCAGTGCGTGGCCAGGAAGGTCTCAGGGGCAGTAGGTGAAGGGCTGGAGGGCCAGTTGTTGAGGTGTTATAGGGGGAGTGGGAAGCATCAGTGATCTGCAGGGTGAGGAATTGAGGGCAAGTGGGGTGAGATGTGAGAGGTGTGGAGGGAAATAGTGGATTTTGGGGGTGATGAGGTGAGTTGTAGGCTGGGATGTTGTGGGGGAGGGAGGAAGGTTGGGGGCTATGGCCTGTGATTTGAAAAAGGGGCTACCTAATGTATTCTTGGACCAGGGACCTCTGGGGCCTTGTTACACCACTGAGCTTGGGAAGAAGGGGATAGGAATTCATGACCCTCTTGGCCTGTCCAGCTCTGGTCTCCTGGCTGTATTCTGGCCCTTCTGTTATGCGATGGCCTAGTCACTGCTTCTCACTCACCTGTAGTGAGATGTTACCACCCATTCATGTCAGGGAGCTAGTGGAGTAACAGAGAATGGAACCAATCTTTGCTACTGTTCTAAATGAAACTCCAGCTGCTTCCCCTTGTGTCATCTCAGTTGTGTTCTCCACATATAGAGAACATCAGCTCTATATGCTGATGTTACTGGAAATTTACCTTTTTTGTCGGGCAACCTTTCAAATACTGGCATACGTCCTCTG